ACTAAATGAGGAGTTTGTGGATTGCTTGAACCACACTGCAAGTCCAAAAGATTTCGAGTCATAGTGGGCCACTATGGTCTAGAAACATGATTTGGAAGGCAATGAGCATTTTCAGCACCTGTACCACATAAGGTAGAGCTTCATTCCAGCCTACTACATGCATATAACACCCCAGTGTTAAGCATTGCATTTGGCATTTGTATTTTATGAGCACAAGCACCATCCAAGCATTCATGAGCATGAGCATATGAAGTTTCATTTCATTTACCTTCTCTTTATCACATGTGATGTTGCTCATATACTTAATTATGCTTGTAATCATGTATGACTAATATATGAAATAGTTGTGAGGTCATGAAAACACCTTAGACACGTCTAGTATGGTAAATGGAACAAGTTTTGTATTCATGACATGGGCCAATTTTGCTTCTTAAGTGTTGGTTTACTTTGAAATGCCTTTTACATGATGCTAGTTTGACCAAGTTGAATAGTAGCTTAGAGTGTTTGCATGGCTGTGTGACCTAAATAAAAGTTATAGTTTATATCAAGGGTAACAAACTTCATTTAAGGGTCATGACCTAATTCAATGACTAACTTAGTTAAAAAGATCTCACAAGTTTCAACTTAATGTTGTTTGTAACTTAGAAATTTTGGCCAAGTTCTCAATGGACTGAAACTGAATTTTTAGTTTCGAGGTACCCTACTTTGGGGAAACATATCTCGCAAACCAGTTAGAATTTGACCAAGATTCTTTTAGCAAAGTTGTAGTATTCATGTAGCAATACAGCGAGAATCTTTTGGTTGATCGAATTATCAATCTATTTGGAAGTAGAAGGGGGAAGAAAAATGGAGTTTCAGTCGATTTTGAGGCACTTTTGAACTGCATAGGTGTGGTGTAGTGGCCGATAGGCCCAGGCTGCTCGCGCCACATGGAAGTCATACACCGGCGTTGGCCCTCGACGCCTCGAGTCTAGAGTGGAAGGCCGAGCGAGCGCTCTCTCTCGCTTCCCCTTCCCACTCGTTTGCTCTCCCTCTGTACCTTCTCTTTGTCATGAAGGAGAAAGGGAAAAACTTGTGCTGCCATCGACGCCCACGTCATCGGCCAAAAATCCACCGCAACCACGCGCCATCCTTCGATTCCTCGTAGCCACAACAGCGTAATGAGTTCCTCTACATCCCCGACTTAGGTACGACGCTGGTCAAATGAAGGTGAGGGCCCCAGGGCCAAAGCTGCTACCATGGCCGCCATTGCCACCGCCGAGCTCGAGCTTGACGTGGCCGGGCTGTCTCAGGCCATCTCTCTTCTTCCTTGTGCTTGTTGTGAGTCCGAAGTTGTGTGTAGAAACTCCACCAAGGTCTCACCCACGCCATCGTGGCGAGCAGCAGCGAGCACGCCGCCGTGCAGCGCTGCTGTCGCTCGCTCCTTCTGCTACCACGTGCGTAGAAGTTGAAAATTCATTCACTAACCTATCCTGATAGATGCATCTCAGTGAGAGGAGTCAGTTGGAGGTGGTCACGTCGCCGGAAAGTTCACCACCGGCGAACTATGGCAAGTCAAATGCCGCCCCTGTTTTTGTCCCTATGACATGTGGGTCTAGGTTGACCTCGGGGCCTAACAGTCAGCTCCTCTGGGTGCAATGCACCACGTGCATGTAGCGGCTGCTGGGGTTTAGGCTTAAGTTTTCATTTTATCTTTTCCAGATTGTATGCAAATCTTGTAAAATTGATATCTTGAGCTAGGAGTATCCAAATTAAGTGAACCAAATTTTGTTGGATTCATCATAAAGAGTACTATTTGATAAAAATATGAAGTATACAGCTTAGGGTATTTTTCTAGGAGAATGAAATTGAGCAAGATAAGTGCTTTTAAAGTAGTTTATATCTTGTAAAATGCATAACTTGCGCTAGGAAAGTGATAAAAATTATGATTCCAATTTTGCTGGTATTATGTTGACATGCTCTAGCTATGAAAAATATTAAACCTATAGTAAACATACTTCTAATATGATATTCCTATTTAATCTTAATTAATTGCTAGATTCTAGTGAAATTAATTAGGGTAAAAATACATAACATATGATCATGCAAATTTTTACACAGTATTCTTATGCTAGGAGGAAAATAAGAAAAATATTAAATCTATTGCTTGACATTTTTCACTATGCTAAACTATTTTTGCTAAAATAAGTATATGTAACTTGTCATTTTTGTAAGGGAAGCTATATTTGTCCAAATGGCATAAAATTTGTACAGTAGACTACTAGGGTCTTGTGTAGCCTACTGTAATTTTTTTGGAATTTATTGAGTAGTGAAATTATTTACTCTGTAAATCACCTTATTATCTAAGGAAATTAATAAATGAATATAAATAAATTAGTTAGACTTAACCGTGATGTTTTCTGTGGTGTGTGTGATGTATATAATCTGTTAATACTGTTAGTGAGGCTTAAAAGTATTTGTTTATAGGCAACTAGTTCATTATTGCTTTATAATTTAACTAGATGACTGCATGTGTATTTTCTGTTGTGGTGATGATTTCATGATGATAATGATCTTTTCTGTAAATATGGTTAATAACAAAGTTGTAGATAACTTACTTATCTACCTTGTGTTAAATTTTCATAGTCATAGGGCTTATGGTTTGAGAATTATAGCTATTAAAAATCTGCTATCAGAAATACTTGCTCTCTGGACATATCTGAAAGATTGAATTGTTTGACCTAGATAACTACTAAATCACATTAAGATGGTTAAAAGAAAGTTGTAGGAAATTTCATAATCTTTCCAGAATGTCCTCAACCATATTATGTTGATGTGTATAACTCCAGTTATGGTCAAAACAAACGGCTGCTGTCTTGTAGTCCAGAGAATGATTTACATAAGTGTTTGTTTAAGTTACTAGAGAAGAGATATGCACCTACTCAGTAAAAAATGTAACTTGTTATCACGTTAATGCAATGCTGCTAAGAACACTTATGAGGATGCATTCATCACATCATATCACATTAACATTATACATGCCATTATATATGTATTCATGATATCTTGTTTCATACATATAGGATCATCCGAATGGATAACTCTGTTGGAGTCCGAAGAAGAGCCGGAGGAACAACAGGAGGCACCTTAGGCCATAGCTCTAGAAGCAAAGGAGCAAACTTTTGAAGACTTACCCGAGTGCCCAGACCATAGGCCAACTTCTTTTATCAAAGGCAAGCCCCGGAGCATTCTAAGTCTCCCAAGTTTTACAAAATATCACTTGAGTCTTTTATGTTTGGTGCATTAGGTTATAAGAGTTGATTGGAAACACTTGATGCATAGCACCACCTTATCCAAATATATACACCTTTAACCCTATATAGATACAGGATCGAATATATGCTTTGCCATGCTTAGACCGATAGAAGTCGGGTGATTTCCTATCACCTATGAGATATAGGTGGATACCGAAGCACGGTTGGCTATATTTGCTTTCGTAGAAAAGAACCATGGGGTAATGTAATTGGAGGCCGAATGGAGTCTATGTGTAGCTTGACTCATGTGATTCCATCTGTGCCGATCAAGGACCGTACAGTTGTTGGAACTTTTATCAAGATTAAACGTATGCCTCTCACTTAGCTAGCCGGATAACTCGTTCCGACCACAAACCCGAGTAGCTCAACTCAGGCTAGGCCCTGTTCTCTGAAAGTGCGCACTCTAGATGGTAGTAAGGATATGCGGGGAGCCAGACGTGAGCCCAAGGGCAGGCTAGGCCTGAACGTCCTAGCAGTTGGTTGTGCATGATTGTGCGGTGCTGATCGAACCAACGAATTGGACCTGAGTTGTACCAAAGGTGACCTAAGACTACCTTGGCGCAGGTATATCTGGGTTTGTGTTCGGAATAAATTCCTAGCTAGTTGAAATCAATTCAAATCGCAGTCTCTCCCGGACAGCGAGAAACTTGGCTAGCTCCAACATCGTAGTAACTATGTTATGGAATATGATGGTTCAGATGAACATGGAATTATTATATCGGCTATGGTTACTACTGTATGATAGTAAATGATATACCACATGTTTGGCACAGGTTAGTTGCTAATCTAGAGATAAATAGCTATAATTAACTTGATGAGCGAATTATAACTATATACTTGAATTGGTAAGCTTTTTATGCAAAATATTGTCAAGCTAGCTCCACTTATATAGCCTTGCATAATCTTTGGAGTCACTTTATTTTTGGTTTATGACGGGTAAGTCTAGCTGAGTACCTTCTTATACTCAGGGTTTATTGCCCATTGTTGCAGATAGTAGGATGTATCATGGCTATTGTAAGAACTGCTTCTATCTTGCCGTGGACGAGTAGGGCCCTAGGCAAGGCGTCTCTCGTTAATCCCTCTATTATGCTTTTGTAGTTGTGATCCTGTGCTAGCACACCGCAAGTCCTGAAGATTGAGTCATAGTGGGCCGCTATGGTCCAGAAACATGATTTGGAGGGCAATGAGCATTTTTAGCACCTGTACCACATAAGGCAGAGCTTCATTCCAGCCTACTACATGCACAGCTTCTTCCCATTCCTCCAATCGACTCAAAGGAGCGAGGGGTTCAATGCTTTGCTCAAGAAGTATGTAAACACAAACTAGTCCGTGCTACAATTTGTGAGACAATACCAGAAAATACAAGAGAAGTGTCTGGTAGCACAGGATGAGCAAGACTTCAGGACTGATGAGAATGAGCGAAGACGATGGTTAAGGCATCCGCTTGAGAAGCATGCTTCCACTGTATACATAAAGAATATGTTCTACAAGTTCTCCAAATAGTTTGAGAAAACTGCAAAACAGGACGTGAATCCTGTAGGGCAGTTCCAATATTGGGTGGAGCCCAATAATAGCTTTGTTTATGGGTACGCAAAAAGGAACTACCTTGTTACAGCAATAGAAGACGAGGAAACCTACTACTAAGAGTGCAGCAAATTTGAAAGGGATGGAATCATTTGCTACCACATTATGAGGGTTATGGTCAGGATGGTGGTGAAATTGATACCAGAAAGTTACATCCTTAAAAGGTGGACGCAGCAAGCAATTACTAGTGATACAGATCAGGTCCAAAATGTGCAGGCACCGGTGGAACCTGTAGCCCATGGGATGCCATTGACCGGCCAGAAAACTTCGAGATTCACCAACGCATCCATCTCATTTGCAGCACTAGCAGTTGAGGGCTGTACAAGTGATGAAAACTATGCTGTTTTGGAGAACCACATCAAGCAGATGCAATCTGAATTTGAAGAAATCAAGAAAAGGAAGATGGCGAATAGGCAGAACACTGGTGCTACAGAAGGTGGTGCTACAGAAGGTGCACAAGACCCTGGTGCTCCACTGGTGCTAAAGAACACTGGTCCAGGTGCCTTTGCTCCAACTGGACCCTCACTGCGAACTACAGGTTTAAAAACTAGACCCTGTGTTCTGCTTTACTTCATCCTAGTACACCTATACTTGATTACTTAGTTGCTAATATTGCATTTCACCCTGTAGGTGTAGTGGTTGATCCAAGCTCATCAAATGTAGGGAACCCCCCAAAATCAAAAGGCAAAGGGCGCAAGAATGAGAAGGCGCACAAAAAGGGGATGAATGGTCAAGCAAAGAGGAAGAATAGGTGCAGCGTTTGCAGATCATATGATCACAATGCACAGAGATGTCCAGACTAGCCCAGAAGAGAAGTTCAAAATCCAGAAACAGTTTAAATTAGGAAATAGTGTTACTCAAATGTACTTGAATGTGTTTGTGTGAAAATTTGTGTTGGCAGACCCGTTGTACAACTTATATGCTAAGACTCAAATGTTAATGTGCATTGCCTTTTCTATTTACTAAGTTTAGAGTTATCCCATTGCTTGATTGTTTTTTGAAAACATAATAAATAAATTACAAAATTTTGATTCATCCTATACTTCATCCTTTTTTCTGTGTAGTTTCTTCCGCGCCTACTTTTGACTTGTGTAGTAGTATGCTGATTCATCCTTTTTCCTAGAGTTCAGCTTAGCTTTTCATGAATCCCATGATGGCCTTGCCTTTTCACGAATCCCGTGTTCTTAGCATCCCCATTTTAGCATCTTCATATTTTCTTAGGCAATTTAAGTGTCATTCGTTAGGCAACAATGTCTTCTTAAATAGGCAATTTAGCCTATTCTTACTAGTAAAAAAGGCCATCCCTTTTGTTGCTTATATGGTTGCTTAACTCTACTTGTCCCCCCCATTCGTGGGCTTGCACAACACAAGCTTGTATGAATCTTGTGGAGGCCCATTCCACTTGTTCACTTTCACTCCTTTTTTTGGGTTTTGTCCAAAATTTGTGTGCGTGGTTTCATTCCATTACTTACACCTGTTTTTCCTCTTCTTTTGTCATTTGCAGAAAAAAAGTACGCAACACTGCTGTTAGCCAGTTCTGCTCTGGTTTCATAGAGGTTGTAGGCACATTTTTTGTGTTGGGCACACATAATTGCTACCAGAATACTAATAACTTGCCAGGCTAATGATATTAAATTGCTTACCGGACTACTAATAAATTGCCTGACTAATAACTTGCCTCAGACACATAATAAGTAGTGCCTGATCTCAGCCTGGTACGGACCAGCTATAGCTAGTAGTGGCTATAGTAGTAGCAGGTGTACTAGATGTAGCTAGGTATAGTTGTCTAGAGTTGTAATATTAGGCTTTACAATTTTTTGGAAACATTACAGCATAGGCATTAATTACAGGAAACCATTACAAAACTATTTACAAGCTTTACCTCTTATAAATGTAGCCTGTCTTTCCAATTCTGCACAACATTATCTTTGTGAGTTAGCCACTTATGCAGTAGAAGTTTGCGTATATTAGGGATGTCCCTCTCCTTGAAATATTGCATTGAATGTCCATCCCAATGTTAAGCATGCATCAACATATGGAAACCACAATCATGACTGTAGAGACAAAACAAACAATATAGAACTCAGTGCAAATAACAAATCTAACTGTATGCAGAAGGGTAACATTAGTTAGACCTAAAAAACTACTTACTTGTTGGACTGGATTGGAACACAAATATCAACAAGTTCATAATTGCATATGGGCTTCTTTGCCTCATAACCATGTTTGGTCCAAAGTTCTTTGATTTCCCCTATCAAGGTGTTGCAGCACTTGAAGAGAGCTTCATCTTCTAGAGTTCTCATTAAGTCTAACACCTCAAAACTTTGGTTTCGTAGGTTCAGGACAAGCAAAAAGTAGTGTCCTACTTGTGTTGCAGATTTTCCATCTCCAAGTGATTGAAGCACAGAGAACATCACCTATGTTGGGTTGGTTATTATCAATGAATGTCACTGAGGAAGAAAAAATCATGAATGACGAAACCTAAATACATGTGAAGATATTAACTTACCATTTGATGATGGTCAAAATGGTTATCTAGAAGTCAGAATACACGTGAGACTTGTGTCGTAGTTAGGTTGCCCTCCTGCATGAAAGTCTACGAAAAAAACAGCAACAAAACTGCCTTAACAAATTAAGAAAATTGCTAACAAAAGCTTGAAAATTTACTTGATACTAAAAGAAGAATTGCTTCAGTATAGATTTACTGTACAAGAATAATAGAAGAAACTACAACTGACTGAGGCCAGCAGCTGGCCATATATATGAACTAATCATGCATGACCTTCTAACACATCAGAAGAACATACTTGATTTTTTTATTCAGGATACAGAATAATCCAATCAAATGCTATCAAGAGCGTTGCCTGAATTCCTAAGTGCCTAAGTCTAGAGCTACAGAATCCACAAACACTGACCAGGATGAAGGAAAACAAAGCAGAGGAATCAAATGTCACCCTGCTAATTAATTTTTCCCCATGGACAACAAACTGAGAATGCGTCATGTGAACATACAACAGCTAGGAGAGAACTACATGCTACAACAATGTCATAGTGCCAAACATTGATACATGATCAGCCCATGGAAAGAGGCAAAATGGCCATGTGTCACCTGGCCGCACTGGTGGGTTCCTACCAATGCTGCTCGTGATGATAAAACAGTGGCACTAAACTTGTACACCAGTCAAGAAACAAAAATGGTAATTGTTCAGATAGCCCATGGCCTGATTACAGAGCTACCTAATGTTAATATTTGATCAAATGAGCCTTGTGTTATAGGGCAGTAGATGTAGTTCTGTAGTCAAAGATTAATTAGAGAGCAATATCATGAGAAGTGAGGAGGTTACATTCATCTATCACATCTGTTTTGGCTTTGCAATGGCTATTTGCATTCAGCAAGCAGAGCAGTACTATAGTCCGAGGTTACATGTGGTAGTAGTAGTTCTGTGGTCTTAGCTTGGTGTGGATCTGCTCCTACTAAATAGTAGGAGGCCTACAACAAGTGTAGGGGCATGGGTCTCTAAATTTTGCCCTAGCTATAGTAGTGGGACCAACCCAAGTGCAGGGACATGAGCCACTAAATATGTGCTCGATGAAAGTGCAAAAAAAAGAAGCAATACTGCCTTAACAAATTAAGAAAATTGCTAATAAGGACATGAAAATTACTTGATACTAAAAGAAGAATTGCTTTAGTACAGATTTATAGTAGAAGAATAATGGACGAAAAATATGAACTAACCGAGACTCGTAAAGGTAGAACACGTTTGATAGTCTTTCTACTGGTGTCGTCAATTGTGTCGATTGCAATTTTAGCAACTGGGCTCATTAGCTTCCCACCAGGCTTAATAGATAGAGCAAGATGATTTTGCTTCACATAAAAGCTCCTAAAACTGATTATGACCACGCTGCACACATAAAAGAAGCAAGAAAGTGAGAATAAATCATTGATAACATGATGATCAACATTTTTAAAATAATGAAGGAAGACATGGTTATGGGCATACGCACTCTTGAGCTTTTTTAGATATAGTAGACCCTGCATTTCCATGTGCACACACAGCAGCATATAAATCACAAACATCCTTGCTGCACTGGGAAATCCTCTTTGTAGCAAAGTCAATATAAGGCGAGCGAAGAGCATCTGGCCTTTTCTGAATCTGTCTTGGGTGAGACTCGTAGGTAGGTGTAACTAAAGAATTGCCACTAGCAGGATCCTTAGATGTGGATGGAGGAGGTACAGGATCAGATGCCTGAAACACAACTGCTGGTTTCACCTTTTTCTTCTCAAACTCAATAAGAGCATCATTTTCCAACTTAGCAAGTTCCTCTTCTAGTATATTTAACAGTGAGAATTGAGAACCAGCTGGTGTGGAAGTAGTTTGAACTTCAATAGGTGTTGTTGAAGTAGCACCTGTAGAGTTGCTGGGTCCACCTTGTGAATCTACAAATTTCATGATGTTGATATCTGGGGGTGTAAAATCCAAAGGACAGCTTCTGGTGCAACATGAGTCACCTGTGTTGGGTTCGTTATCATTCTAAGCAATAAAGGAAATAACATGTATGATGATGAAACATATCCCATTGTCAAGATGTGAACTTACCACTTGGGGGGAGCCTAAGCTTTTCCTTCATTCTTTGTGCATTGGATTTGGGCTTGATGGTAGGTTCTGGAGCAATAATCTCAAGTGGTTGAGGTTCACAAGAAGTTGTTGTATCCTTCTTCTTATCTTTAACTTTCAAAGCTTGCAGCCTTTCCAAATGGACCTTTAGTGGGACAAGATCTTCACTGTCATCAACTTGAGCTTCAACACGGGTGGATGAATCTATAGGTGGCTGCACATTACATTGCTTGTCAACTCTAGTTGCATCCAACTTAGGTTCTTCCAAAGAAGCAGTATCATCCTCATCTTGCTTTTCAATGCCTTCATCCTCCTCCTCTAGTACAGGGGACATATTTCCATTGCCATCAACATCAAACGCAGTCTCATGATCTGAATCTGAATCTTCATCCTTAGAATCTTCATCCTCTTCACCTTGGTCAGTGTCACCATCTCCATTTTCATCACTCGACAAATCCTCTTTAGATTCTTCACACAAAGATTCATCTTCAGCAACATGTCCTCCTCTACTCATTGCCTTGGTCTGCCTTTGTGCACAGGAAGGTACAGCTTGTTCCAATTTGGAACGCTTTGGTTTGTTGTGTCTCTGTGCAGAGTAAGGTTCACCTTCAGAATGATTTGCCCTTGGATGCTGGGAACTGCCCACACACTGCGATGCAGGAGCTTCAACTTCAGAAACTTTTTCCAAAAATGTGTCGAGAAGCTCTGTGAAACCAGAGCAGAACTGGCTAACAGTAGTGTTGAGCATACTTTTTTTCGCAAAGGACAAAAAAAGAGGAAAAAATAGGTGTAAGTAATGGAATGAAACCACGCACACAAATTTTGGATAAAACCCAAAAAAGGAGTGAAAGTGAACAAGTGGACTGGGCCTCCACAAGATTCATACAAGCTTGTGTTGTGCAGGCCCACGAATGGGGGGGACAAGTAGAGTTAAGCAATCATATAAGCAACAAAAGGGATGGCCTTTTTTACTAGTAAGAATAGGCTAAATTGCCTATTTAGGAAGACATTATTGCCTAACGAATGACACTTAAATTGCCTAAGAAAATGCAAAGATGCTAAAATGGGGATGCTAAGAACACAGGATTCATGAAAAGGCAAGGCCATCACGGGATTCATGAAAAGCTAAGTTGGACTCTAGGAAAAAGGATGAATCAACATACTACTACACAAGTCAAAAGTAGGTG